CAAGACATTTCGATCTGATCGAGGATATGAGTATTTCTTGGGATAGTGCAAAGATTATATGGTCAATGAGGGTGTTGTGTACCAGTTTTCCGCAATTGACGCTAAATGCATTTAGGTGTTAAATAGGAATAACAGAATTCCACTTAACATGGTTAGATCTATGATCAGTTATGCCACATTATCTCTTTCATTTAAGAGTTTAGCGTTAATGACATCGATGCACATTATGAACTGCATTCCATCTTAGTCTGTCTCAAGGATACCGTTGAGCTGTGTTTTTGACTAAATCTTAGTTTGAATCACATGCGCATATGGGGTAGTCTTGCACATGTGCGCTTGATATGGACAAGTAAGTTGGAAACAGATCATACGCATGATAGATTTGATAGCTACTCTAAAAGTCACTAGGACGGATTATTTTATGATCTTAATAATAAAAGTTGATTGTTTACACTCACTGTTTATCTATAGGAGAATCATATTATGAATCACATACCTAGTAGCATAGTGTTAGAGAATATGGTATGAGTACCAGATGTACCACATATGAACACACTTAGTATAGAGATTTAGAATTATAGATGAATTCCCTATTGATGCGTCAGCATCGTCTAGTACACAGATTCCTTCATCGGTACATTGATGTAGTGGGAGGATAATTATCTAATCCGACAGAATTATGTTTTTAGGTGAGACCGTTATGGATATCCCTGTTAAACATGAGTTGGACCCAGTAAACTACACGGAAGCGTGAACCGATTTGGATATAGATCGTTTTGGCGAGTTACTATGAAATCACAGTTGGAATCTATGTACTCTAATAAATTCTGGGATCTTGTAGAACTTTCTAGAAGGGTGATTCCTATGGAAGGCAAGTTAATCTACGAAAAGATACCAGAAGATTTCTTAGTGAATAAATTATGAGTGTACAAGGGAATGTCATTATTTTTCTGATTCTATATATATTGATGACATCCTACTCATATAGAATGATGTGGAAGGTTTGTCATCAATAAAGAGGTAGTTGTTCAATTACTATTAAATGAAGAATTTTTCAAGATGTAAGCTATATTCCTATGATCAAGTTTTTGCAAGATTGGGTTAAAAAGAAAATAGGCTTATCTTAATAATCCTACATTGATAAAGTTTTGACCAGGTTTAGTATGTATAACTCAAAGAATGAGTTTTTGCTTTTATTAATATGGATTGCTCTCTCTAGGAAGTAGTTTTCCAAGACTAGCAGAGGAGATTGAGTAAATGAGACTGGAACTATATACTTTGGCATATGGGAGTCTCATATATGCTATGATCTATACCAAACAGGACATCCGCTACATAGTAGGGATAGTCAGTAGATATCAGTCCAATTCTGGACTTGATAACTGGTCTGTTGTGGAAAATATCATTAAGTACCTAAGGAGAACCAATGATATCATACTCATTTATGGATGTGATGATATGGTCCTAGTCAGGTATGCTAATTCTGATTTTCAATCAGAAGTAGATACTATGAGGTTCATGACTTAGTGTATGTTCACTTAATGAAAGGGAAATCAGTTGGTAGATTGTTAAGCAGATTTCAACTGCTGACTCAAACCTGCAGGTGGAATATATTGCAGCCTTAAAGGCAGCAAAGGAAGCCTATTGGTTTGATCTCACTGATTTAGAGGTTGTGGAGCATGCTAGCCTGCCTATCGAGCTATATTGCGACAATAGTGTAGAAGTAGTCCAAACCAATGACCCAAGGTTCTATAGAGGAACAAGATACACTGAGAGGAAGTATCATGTTCTACATGATATTGTCCGGCAAGAAAATGTACTTGTAGCTAGAACATAGCATTGGAACACAACTTTGTTGATCCATTATCAAAGGTGTCATTGATCAATAATTTTGATCATCATCTGGATGACATTGGAGTTAGGTGCAATTTGAATTGGCTATGAGGGCAAGTGGGAGCTGTTGGGATTTATATGCCCTGGCATAGCAAATTCCTGTTTGGATTAAAGTGACATATGTTCTTGACATTTCTGAAATATTTATGTTTTATACAATTGGTGAATTTAATGTATTATATTTCGATTCATTATAGAATTGATAGTGTCCATTTGATTACAAGAAATATTTATATATATGTATGTGATGGCAATCAATGCATGACATATAAATAGTAATCATAAATGGTTCATAGTCGGTAATTATGGATGGACTCATAATTAATTAAGATTTGAACTGGATCCGCGTTAGGTTGAGATATATTGCGAGAGCCGTCGTATGCAATTGCTCCCTATCACCGTCATGGCATTTGACTCTTAAGCATGAGAAAATTATAAACTCTTTTATTAATTAATAATTACTTTGATTTGTTTGGCGGATTTTTCAGGATCCTTAGACCGACACTTTGGGTAGTTATGTAATTAATAGTTAGAGGGTTATATTTTCAATATTTGCATCATTGTTACTTGTATTTATTTTATATTGATTATGGTTGATCACAAAGTAAATTCAAAGGCCTTCGTGTGTTTTTAGACAAAATGATTTATTATATATTTATTTATTTATTTAAATTATTATTTTTGTCAAATAAATGTTTTATTGTGATCGAGCCAGAAATAATCAATGGTACCAAAATAAATATATTAATTAAGTAGTCGGATTGATGGCTTTATTTATCCGATAACTAATTAAGAATAGAGGGGTCAAAGTGCAATATTGACTTATAGGTTATTTATTATTTAATTGGAGTTCAATTAATTTCTTTTAGTGGAGTAGAAATTAATTTATGAATTAATTGAATTGGGTCCATGGACCGGGCCAATTATTAATTCATTGTAGCCAATAATATAATAGGCCCAATGGATTCTCACTCATAACCCAACTTGATATTGGAATCATATTAGATTTGAGACATATGAATTAGAGATTGAGAAGGATTTGTGGTTTCCTTTTCTTTATTTTTATGTTGCCTATAAATATACATGGTCTATATATATTTTGGGGGTGATTTTTGGAAAGAAGGAAAAAGGAATAAATTTTCTCTCTCTAGAAAATTAGGGTTAGTGTTCTCATCTAATGGAGGCTCCCACAAGCCTAGTTTTCCAAGGTCATTTATGGAGGCTTATGAGTGATTCCTAAAGGCAATAACATTACCAAGAAGATGGAAATCCATGGAAAAGGTTTCTAGCAAAAGGGATCTACAATAAGTGAGAACATTCACTTTAGAAGAGAGATCTAAGGTTTACTCAAACCTTGATGTAAGTATTCAATCTTTTAATTGAATGATACATCATATTTTATTTTTACATAAAACTTATCTATATGTGATGAATCAAGATCTATGAATTAAAATCACTTGAAAAGTTTTTAAAACTTGCACGTTTCCCAACAGTTGGATATAGGAGATGTGTGGCCCTAGTAAAGGGGGATTCTTGACCACCTTATGTATGATTTTTTATGAGATACTCACTATTCGGTTGAGACTACCCTATATTTTAGTGAGAGGCTTAGTGTGTATATGTATGTAGTGACTACGTAGATATTGCATGAGTTTGATTGGAGATGTATCGCTTATTGGTTCTCTAATTGAGTTGTTGTAAAAATGATTTGTTCGTGGGTTTTGACTCACCTTTGGTATATTTTTCAGATGCTTATCAGTTCTAATCGTAGAGGTTGTTGGTGCTAATTTGAGAGCATTTATCTTCACTTTTCCGGAGTGATACCATCTTTGTATAGTTTACTTAGTGAATTTTGGTATCTTTGTATTTTGGTTTTGTTTTGCTACCTTATTCTCCTTCAACCTGACGTTGGTTTTTTTCACTCTTTTTATGAGAGAGGTAAAATTGACTTTTTCAATTTCCGGTGACAGGAGATAACCGGGAAAACTTTATTTGTCCTAAGACTACACCAAGACCATAGTTGAGGGGGGTTATTTGTAATCGAGGGGGGTTAGTTGCACTCTGGGTATAGTGAGAGGGGGGGGGGGGGGGGTAATTGCATTTTACCCTTTTTGTATATGGGTCCAAGATATGGATTCTCGAGTTGTATTATGAAGGTTTATTCCTTATGGGATTTATTAGAGTATTGGTATAAGAGGATTAAAGATTTATTAATTATTATTTTAGTTTTCCATTTAGCGAATATTTATTTATTTTTATTTCATATTGTATTCCGTACTTGTTTTAAATATTAATTATTTAATATCCCCGAATTTTCGGGTGTGAGCCTAGCCAACCTACACATGAAAATTCGAAAGTATCACAAAAGATTCTATAACTCTTCATGCAATGCCGACGTCCTTCTTCCCAACACTCGTGTTGTCTGCGTAGTGTAACTTCCTTACAATTAGGCAACACATATTTCATGTGCTCTCTTTAACCAACCATCTTCTATATGAGACATTATTATTATTTGCAAGCCAATTGATTTTGTGACCCAAAGCTTACAACATGGATAGCTGTCTCATATAACTGGTTTGAATTGACTTCAACCGTGTTCATGTCATAATCTAGTTTAACTTATTTAATTAATCATATATTCAGTTTGAACTAATTATGCTTATTTAATTTATCGTATCATAATCGTATTAGGTTAATTCTATTAACTCATAAACTTGTTTTAATCCAAATATTATGGACATTCTTTTTTATTTCAATATAAATCCAAATATATTGTATTGTAGTGTCTCAATTATTTTCATTTTCATTAATTTAGTCATCTATTATCTTGATATTTTTCAATTATATTTAAAATTTATACCAATTGCATAACATCCCATTTGGAGAAGAGTTTGAATTAAATATATTATTAAATCATTTAATAAGAATCATGTTCCTCAAGGGTCTCAAAATATTAGTAAATAAATCAACAAGAATTATTAGATGATATTTTTAAAAATTAAGGGAACAGTGACTAGGGGGAAGGTTAAATAAAATTAAGCCTAATTTTAAATTAAAAATTAATCGAGTTAAACTCGAATCCTCGAATTGATCGGATCATGCTTGAGCCATACTCGAAAAGTGGTCTCCACTCTTACAATTGCCATCGAAGACCCTATTGTTATACTGCAACAATTGATTTTGCGACCCAAACATTACACAACATGAACACCGACGACCCTTCTCCAAATCCAACCACCACTGGTCTCATCATATTGAACACCGAAACCATCCGCTCATTCCTCACCTCCGCCTCCGACGACTCCTACCTCTCCGATGATCTCCGACGCACCGCTTCCAGTCTCTCCATCCAACCCTCCCTTCCCTACAAATCCATCCGATCCCTCTGGTTCGCATCCCCACCTTCCTCTCGACCCGACTTGATCCAACTCTTCTCCGGATCCCATTTCATCTTCACCAGCCCTAAACCCAGAGAAAAGGTATACCCAAAATTCCTGTGTGTTTGCTTCCCGAGAAAATATGTCTGTGTGTGTCTTTATACCTTATCTATATGTGTATCGCGACCAAATAGAGGTTAATTATGTGGTTATTTGGATGTTGATTATAGAAGTATCTGGTTGTTTGGTTTGTAAATGGTTGTTTGGATGTTGCATTATCAGTAATACTGATAATTAAATTTGTTTGATCTGTTTTGGGTTCTTTCTTCATTCGATGTTGGATTGTGAAAAATAGTGTATTTGATTATTTATTTATTTACTTCAATTTTTTTGGGGAATTTTAGAGTGAAGAATTGAAGGCAAGGCTGAGGAAGCTAGCGGAGGCTGCGGAGAGGAATGCATACGCGGAGCTTGTGAAGGACATTACGCCGAGGAAGAGCGAGACTGAACCTTTCTCTTCTTACAAGGATCAGCTTGGGTTTGGTGAGTTTTATTTAGTTATTTTGTTTTGGATTTCTGTTTATTTTTGTACTATGAATTACGAAGAGTGCTTATATAATACAGATACATATGTTTAATTGAAATATCTGAATTTGTAGTGTTGTGGGTTTTTGAATTTTAATAATTTAAGAAAAAAGTTAACATTTTGAATTTTTTTTTTTGATAAGTATTGAATTTTCTTTTATTTGGCTTGGATTTTATGAAATGTATTAACTTTGTGTGACATCTTTTGCATCTTGGCTGAATTCATGAAAAGAAAAACATCAAGATCTTCCAAGAAAGTTCCTGATGTTTTTTCTCTATCTGCATACAGTGATATTTTGATTTTGCTATCATGTCTTACTTTGAACACTCCAAGCTCCAAAACCGTGGTGTTACTAAGAAGGATATTTTCAGAAGATCATTTCTGATAATATATCGAATAAACATTCATGACACAAAGGGAAATCATTATATTGTCAACACAAGAAAAGCGAACACAGAAAATGAATAACAGGGAACATACTTTTGTGTAAGCATTAAAATCTTCTTCTTCTTCGTTTTGATATTCAACATAGTCAATTGACCTAACTGTATTTTTTTTTTCTAAGTTTTTGATATTCAACATAGTCAATTGACCTAACTGAATCCTGCGTACTTCTTCTTCTTCTTCTTCCAAAATTTATCAATATATTCTGTAAATGCCCCTTTCTATTTTTTTTTTCTAAGTTTCTATTTTTTTTTTCTAAGTTTTTGATATTCAACATAGTCAATTGACCTAACTGAATCCTGCGTGGTTCCACTTTGGATGGCACATCTAATTTATATGTATTGATGGAAATGCTTACAATTCCTGTTTGTTTTTCCCCTTATTTTTGGAAGAATCGTGGTGACTGGTGTTGTTTGCTATGTTTGAACAACTCATCAGAGCTCTAAGTTATTGGTTTGCCCATTTCATGGAAACTACATCGTTTGAATATATTTGAATAATTTAATTATTCAGGATGATACATGATGGATTAATTAATGCTTTGCAACAAGAAAGAGGAAAAACTGGTTTTGGAGAATATGGCACGATTTGTATTAGTTTGCACAAGTAAACAATAGATCAATGAGAAAGGCACAATACGAGTGAGGATGGAGCATAGTAAGTTCTAGCTCCTGCTTGGACATCCTGTAGTTATCGAAAGGTTTCATTGTGTTTTATTTAGCACTTGATGGTGCTACTCATCTTATGAAATATGATCATTATAAAACATGCCATCACCATAAATGATGGTAGAGAATCAATTTTACGTCTTCATGGAAAGACTTAAAGTGTGTTTGCAAACAGACTTATTTCATTATCACAATTATATTTGTATTTACGTACCCCAGAGAGAGAGACATGAAACATTTTGAATGTTTGTTGAAGAGGCTCAAGTGCAAGGAAGGGAATGTTTTATGATTACTTCCCGTCCCATGAGCCGAACTTGATTAACAACTTTAAGTAGATCCAGGAAGAGTTTGTTCTCCTCTAAAATCAGCAATTGTGTGCAAAATATTTGAGAATTAAGTTGCTAATGAAAAGTGATACAACCACTAGAAAAAGGTTCTTTCTCGAATTGTCATCCAAACAAATCATGCTTAATCACATTCTTTTATAGCGGTTAATTCTTGATCTAAATGTCTTCTGAATGTTAAGACAAAATGAAGCAATTCAATTTCCACAAGCTGTCCAATGATACCCTTAGTTAGGGGCATAATGTATCGGATTGGTTCGGTTTAGACATAGAAGTAAAACCTATCTGATCCCAACGGTATCAGGATAATCGAAACCAAACTGAACCGATGAGAGTTTTTAAACCAAGCCATCCAATCCGTACAAGACTGAATTGGACCTGGAGTGAGATTTGAGAAAATATGAATTTCAGAAAAAAGTGAAAAATTGCTCACCAGAAATATTGAAGATGGCAATGAAATGTGTTGTTATTTCTCTACTGAGGCTCCCGGAGTGCTTGCAAGGAGTAATTGACAGTGGAAAAAAGAATGTTGGAGTTATGGTTTGAACCGATTGATTAGGGATTTACGGATGAAGATGATGGTGGCACAGAGGGTGATGGTGGTTAACGATTGTTGGTGGTCAATTGAGAAGATGCGAGGCTCACAATGATGGTCCACGGTGACGCTTCACAGTGGTTTATGCTTTATAGGTCGGTGACGCTTCACAGTGGTTCATGCTTCATAGGTCAGTGACGGTTCATGGTGGGCCGATGGCGATTTGATTGGTGACAATTCACTGTGGGAATTGGGAAGGAGGGAGGATGCTTTGGTGGGGGCGTGCGGTTGAAGATATTAGGGCAACATAGGTGTTTCACTTATATATATATTGTAATTCGGTTTGGGTAATCCCATTGTAAGTAAACATAGTGGACCAATTATATGAAGCCTAGTCTGTATTTAGATATATGGCGGATTGGATCGGATCAAATTAGTTCAGATTGGATTTTTTTATTCCTAATCTGTGAACCAAATTCATCTGATTAGTTCCACTGGAATTAAATTTGTAATCGAACTGATCTACCTTCAAAACTGAGCATGGATCGGATTGGTTTGAATCGAATCATGATTTGAACCGGATCCGTGCAAACCCCTTTCCTCAGTATCTTAAGCCGTGAGCTTTATTCAATGTTATCCGCTTGACTGTTCATGTTTACATTTTGCACTTGATTTATTTAAGTGACTTAGTGTAACGTGTCAGAAGTTTTGCAGTATGACCCAAAAGCTTAAGCTATTAGCTTTTAGGTGGAGTTAACACCCAGCTCATTTATATCCATTTCACTTGCCATCTGGATTCGATGTGGGACAAATCTCTAACATTCTCCCCCACGTGAACTCACAACGCCCTCGTTGCGGCTTGGGCCACCTTGCTTACCCTGGTAGGGGCTCGAGCATGTTCCGGCCGGGTGCTTGGCGTGACATCTAATTAAGGACCGGGTCTGGCTCTATAACGGGTCGGTTGTTTCGCTGTCTGACCCAAAAACTTAATCTTTTAGGTGGAGCAAACACCTAGCTCATTTATACCTATTTCACTTCCCAAACAAATCCGACGTGGGACAAACCTCTAACACATAGCTTGGTTCTTATGGCATACAAAAACTGCGCTTCCACAAGGAAAAAAAAAGAAAAATATATGGAAGTGTTGGAGCGGAGACACACAGGCTTTGGTGGGTATTTATCTTGACTCAATCAAGGTAAGAAAAAGAGTGTATTTAATATATTGATATACAATGGGGTTTTTGTTAAATGAACCCACAAAATCTTTGGAAAAAATCAAGCTTTCTGTCTCAAGTGGTATCTCGTCCTACTTATAAATGGAAGGTTGAGGGTTCAAACCCTGTTAGAGACAATGGTAGGTGTTTGAATAGCTTACTTATAAATAAGTAAAATTAATAAATAAAATCCTTGGAAAAAGGTAAGTCCTGGTGAAAGTTAAATATTGGGAAGTTGTATGAAAATCTTATAAAATAGAAAATAACTTATAACTTATATATATCAAGAAGATAGTGCAACAGATTAAACACCTAAACAGTGTTAACTCTATTTTGTGTGTGTGAGGGAGAGAGAGAGAGAGAGGTTGTGTATGTGGAACCCCAAATTCTAATTGTTTTGATTGAATTAAATTTGGTAAAATTTTAGTAATAGAAAAACTATGCATTTGTGAAATAATTGTTTGTTCTTGACTGGATTGGTTTTGTAGTTTGGGGTTTTATTCTTGATAACTTTTTGTTCGTGTTCTTATCATTTGTGCTCTTGTTGGCCATTGGATTAGAACTGATTAAGTTTTTCTATATGTAAGATTATTATTATATTTTTATGGAAGTAATGCTTGATTCAAATTGTGTATCAGATTAACTTTTCTCTTGCAGATTCATTATTGACTTTAGGTTATTTATTTATATTAGTTTGAACAAGAATGTAATAGTGATTTTCACTTAGAATAGCATTGGCATTGCGATTGTCATGCATGGGTTCAAAACATGAAAACTTGTTTGGGACAATTATAAAACCATATTATCCATTTGTACTGGAAATGAATTTACTTTTTAGAAGTGATATTATCAATATGTCTAAGTTTCTTTCATCAATATATTTCCAAGAGCTTAGCTCTAGTGATATTTCGTCTAATTTACAAGTGAGATCTTGAGAGTTCAAGTCCCCGTAGGATGCAATTGTGGGTTTGGTTCTGTACATGTGCCATACCAACAATAAAAAAAAAAACAAGAAGTTTTCATCTACTGACAATTTAGTATAAGTTGACTTTTTCAATTTTATAAAAATAATGTTATGGTGATGTATCCCCTGATTTTACCCCCCAAGTTCTATAGCCCAAAAGGTCAATATTATTAGTCTTACTGAATGGCCTTGTTGAAGAAAAATCTTGGCTTCGCCTCTGTAGAAATGCCAATTCTGTAGAGAGTGATGATTCTACTTTATTTATCTCTTGCTGTGTGTCGTATTTTTTTATTTAGTAAAAATGTTTTCTGAAACTCTTTGGGTTGGGAATTGGGATATTACTGATGTTTTGCTGCTTTTGGCTCATTACTCGCTGTATTGGTGACCAATTAATCAAGAATTCCTTGTGTGAACAATAGATCACTCTTTGTGAATCTTGGGAAATAGGGCAACTGGAAGTGATGTGATATAGACAATTTTGGCGAGGATGTTTGAGATAAATCAAAAGATATTTGCAACTATAATATGATTGTTGTATTGGCTCGGGAGTTGTAATTTTTTCTTTTTTCATAGTTGAAGATTTTTTTAATTATTTGCTTCTGTCAACTATTCTTCTTTGTTGGATGATTTGAATCAGCAATTCTGATATTCACAGACTCTTGGGCCGAAATTACGTGATATAAATATTTTTTTGCCTTTTTCTTTTTCTTTTCTCAAAATAGACTTTGAGTTTGTTTTATAATCTTGTGCTTAAATGTTTTCCTCGTTTTACAACCGCAGCTTTTCTAACTTTTTATTTTTATTCTCCTTCCAAGCTGTTCATTTCACCTGTGAGATGCCGTTTGTATTCTCTATGTTTTTGTTTGGATGTTCTGAATCTAACATCAGTCAAACTTTTACAGGTATACACGTTGTGCTTATAATGTTTACTGGCTATTTGGTTGGATATGCTGCATTCAGAGCATTGTTTAACCACAGTCCTATTATGGTACCATTGGAAGAGCCATCTGAAATTAATATACATTTTTCCTATTGGGATCTGCTTAACATAATTTGCTTTTATATTCTGAGAATTTCTTTCCGACTAGTCTTTTTTATTCATCTGTTAAAGTCCATTTTTCAGAATGCTGCTGGAGGCATCCTTGGATTGGTTGGTGGAATGCTCCTAGAGACACTTCTTTTCATAATTAGAACTTCCAATCAAGATCTTAGATCCCCACCTTCCACTTCAAAGGTGAAGAAGAATCAATAGACTTGGCCTTGGAAGGTTGGTCCTTTTTCTTCTTTGATTGGTGATATTTAGAGTTGTAAATTTTTTTATGTCATTGCTCATTCCCATTTAATTCAAAAAATACGAGGTCAGTTGCGTATTTATTTATTCTTTAGTTGCCGAAACTGTAACAAAGTATGTTTTATTTGCCATTTAAACAATGGTTTCTATATTATAAAGGGGGTTTGGAGGGGGAGGTTTGAAAAAAGTGAGGTCTTAAGAGTTGGTCTATTGGTCTATAGGTGATAATCATAGAAACTTTTCTTTACACTACAAATCTGTCACATGCAATCATGTACGAATGTCTAGTGTGGGCATGTGTCAGACCGTTGGGTATGTCATCGCCATATCCAAGGGCAGCGTAACACTGATAGAGATTCGTATTCTCAGTATCCGTATTTTATTGAATATAATGGTGCTTCTAGTAACTTGAAGAGTGTTTAATATGGGTTTTCATTCTGAAACATTATGGTAATAAAAGAAAAATGATAAAGAAAGTTTTATGTCCAGTTATATAATATATTAAAATTAGTAAATATGTTTTTACGTGTATGTCCAGCCATACATGTTTTTTAGACTGACATATATTCCTTAATAGCATCCTTGCAACGTTGCTACAAAGTGAGTTTTTCCATGTGCTGCTATTAGTGAGAGGCATTCTAGATTTTTGGTCATGGAATGTGTTGAGTGTTTCTAATCTATTACTGCTCTAAAGGAGGTACAAGTCCTAGGTTGAGCTTAACAGTTCTTTTTTGTTAAGTTCATTGTTTTGTGGTGCAGTTTTAAATCTCTATTTTGAACCAATTTATTTGACAAAATTCACAGTTCATTTTCTATTTTTTATTACAATGTCATTGGTGCTGGCTAGATGCCATTTTCTTTGCTCGTCAAGATTTGAAATTAAAAGAAATCAAAGCTGGGTTGTTTCAGCATCTGAGCAATTTATAAGCGGCTATAAACTTCATATTTTAGAGGGGTGGAGATCAACGTGGGAGGACTTGAGTTTGAGTCTAAGAGCGGTTAATCTATGCAAAATAATGCTTTGAAAAAAAAAATGAAATTACAAAATAATGCTAAAGGTTAGGTCTTCTTTGTATCCCCTGTAGCACCCTGGGCTAGCACTAGGTAATAGGATAATAGCTTTTGAGAGGGGTGGAGGCCAGATCCGGTTTACGTTTCATGCTTTTGATTTCTGTGAAGCTAGTGTCTGAGAGAACACGTAGGCAAATGTTTTAAATAGATAAAATTATTTCTGTACTAATTGCAGATGAAGTATATTGTTGTAAGATCGCTATAGCAAATAAGTGGAAGCTAAACAATTTAGATAGGGTTTTGTTGAGTTCATGAGATGATAAAATTTAAATTCATTGGTAGTTATTGCTGAATTTTGTAGTATTCCTGTTAATATGCTTGTCACATTGTTGTCTCCATCCTGCATGGTGATGAAGTTATTGAATAGGTAAAATAGGTGCTTCCAGCACCCAGCATAGGCCGGAGCGAAATTGGATAGTGACCTTTTCTTTTTCAATCACAGTTTTTCGCATCACATCTACTTTTGATGGTATTGTATAACTATTTTTCTTTTTTCACGAATCATGTTTAAACTCATGATGCATGGATCATTCTTTTGTTAAACGCTTCAGGTGAGAAAAAAAAAAAAAATTCCCTGATTAGCAAGATCTAAAATACTCGAAAAAGAATCATGTTGTTCAGACTCCAACACACAAGCCCACCTGGAGAGTCGAATGGATTACATACTTTTTATGTAACAAACCGGGCGTCTTCATCCTTGCATATATTATCTACAAATTGATGCTGCATCATGGAAACAGGTCCAATGGTAGTTTGACTTAAAACAATTAGTAGATTATTTAGCATTGGAATGACATCTCTACCCTAATGTTTTGTGTTGGATCGAGTAGAACTATTTACTTAAAAATTTAAATGCCATTGTGAACAGGAGGTGGATATTGTATCGTTTTGGTGTGCCGAGCCCAACGCGAGTCCTGTGTTAGGTCTTCATGCTGTGCTCCAAAATGGTGGGTGTTTTTTTTGCACAAAACCATGCAGAGGACCCCTCCAAACAGGAAGGGATCATGGTCTGTTGTGAACATCATACAGATTGTGTGGAAATTAAGCACTTGCATTTTCTTATCACCAAGACTGTTTTACAACTAGGTAGTGTTGGGTTGCTGAAATTTACAAAGAAGGTGATTCTGCTGTGTGTGTATATTAGCTTTGCGAGACTAACACTGTTGAGAAGGTACGAATGATAGAATGATGTGGTGTTTGGTTCTTGCAATTAGTGAGCTAAATCCACCAGTGAACGTGTTACATGAAACTATGTTCGTGAACACATCTAGTCTACACTTGTTTAGTTTAACGAAGTTTGGAATCGACTCGTTTACTAAAATAAACTTAAAAATTAAGCTTACTTGATGAAAGAGTTCCAGCTGAATATTAAATGAATAGTTTGAGTTGTTCATTGAGGAATGTCAAGCAGTCACAAGCACAGTCTCTCGATTTGTGAGCCCCACCATGGATCTTACTGTAATTAACAAAGCTCTTAGTTGATTTGCAACTTGAACGGGTAGTGTTCAACTTTTTTTAATTGTTAACCATCATTTCTGTTGACTTTATGTTACGTTCACGGTTTTTAGAATTAGTTGTTTTTCCAATTCAGGGATTTTATTTAGCTTCGCATTTGAGAGAGAGAGAGACATGATAACGTTTGTGGATGATATGATAATGATTTGATGGGAAATCTCCAAATAAAGAAAAGCGTGAGACAAGAGCCACTATAAGTAGATGTCGAAAAACTAGGTCTTATCATGGTACGCTTCTTTTTTAATCTTAGTAAGGACAAAACCAATGATCTCTTTTACTCAAGTATGATCTTGATGATTTTCAGTTCACTATAGAAAAAGATGAGATGGGTGGAAAAAATATCCACGATGATTGGTTTTTAAACTCAATTAAGGTTGCCATTGTCTTGCATTATCCTAGACCATGCAATTATTTTCATTAGGTGATTGCCAAGGGACAGTCCATAAAGGTGGCTCACTTTCAATACTATTAAGGTGGCTCACTTCGTTGCACAGGACTGAAAATTTAATATTCCATATTTGTGCCACCATTCTAATATCAATTATAAGTACCTTGGATAGCAAACCTATATATATATATTTTAAAAAATACAAATTTCTTGATTTATATGGGTGTACAACGGGTGCGAGACACTGGTAAGTTATCACACTGGATGAATTAAAAATACATAATTTAGTGCTATATAGATGTTATAGTCAAATGGTACGAGGTATTTTGAAATAAAATTCAAAAGTAAAATTGTGTAAATTCGGAACAAAATAAACAATATCATACTAGTTGATAAAATGAGTCATTATAAATGGTATCATATACCCTTAGAGGGGTAGAGGGGACAGGGAAAGTACATTGTACGCTTCGAATGATAAGAGCCACGGTGCGGAAGGAAAAAGCACAAATGAAAACTACGTTTTTAAGATGTGAGAGTTCAATGAGTGCAGAAAAATCTAAAAAGGAAAGGTAAATACAGCAAAGAGTTACGCCAAGAAACGAATGGTACCATGTGGCATCTAAGTACATGTGCACTGGGCATAAATATGAGAACTGTTCTGTCCATATACAGTCCACGTGAAATCCATTAAAAAGAAGCTCACGTGGCATCACATGTGGTCGGTGGTCCCCATTATCCCTTACCCAAAAAAGGAGGCTTGGAGTCCAAAACTAACTCTATTAAAGAAAGGTACGGAGGAAGTATGGACAGTATGGGGGAAGGAAACAGAACTGTGGGCACAAGGGAATGGATCGTAATTTCAGGATCTTATACTTGTTTGTATGTGTGTGAGTGCGTGTGTATATATATATATATATATCGGAAAATGATTCCTCTTTCTCTCTTTTTAATACTCGCTGAAAACCACGTTCTGAACATAGAATAGTCCAAGCAGTTTGCTCCATCTCTCTTAATCAACCACAAAGATATATTGTCGCAGTATTTGTTATTTGGATTTTATATTAACGTATAATCTGATAAATTCATAATATTACCGAAAACTATTTTCCATATATTACGAGGTTTTCCTAGACAACATATCTTTTTATTTCATACCATGCCATTACAACACTAGTATCATTTGATGAAGTCATGATAAAGAGTATGATAATTGGACAAATTTCAATAAAATTTTTCCAACTCTACATAATTTTTCGTTTGGTAACTAAATAAATTATTAACATACAACAATAAACCATTATGATCTAACTTTGTACCTGTACAAATTTAATTTTTGAAAATTTTTATTTGAATCAAATACAAAAAGTCATCCTTTCACCCTATTTTAATTTAGAAATACTTTCTCCGTCCTTATTTAATTGTCCATCTTGTAAATTGTACTCACAATTATATATGGTGAGTTACAATTTACGAGATAAACAACTAAATAGCAATGGAGGGACTAATATTATGGAGTTGTTAAATTAAGTTTGTAAATAAATACCACTAGTTGAAAAAAATAAATACAAAAAAAAAAAAAAAAAAAAAAACCGGAGTTAGAAATTACAAGTCACACTCCCTCCTATGGAGCCACCTCTGGCAGGAAGCTTCCAGGTGGCGCCAATGGATCACATCATTTCACGGCTTGCCCGTGACACGTGGAAACCGTCCGAGTCCACTCTTCAAAAAGCCTCGCACGCACCTGATTTCTGACCGGACTAACGCCGACTCCCCCGGGAGTGCCTCTCACTTAGTTTCTCTCACGTGCAGTCCTACACGTGTCCTCCGATTGTATACTGTGAAGTCAACGTCGTCACAAATCTAACGGTGCACCTACTCTTTTACGTGTGTGTGTATATATATATATATATATTTATATATATAGTTATATACTCGTTATATACACAGATCTACACAAAAATCTTAAGGAGTAAAGGCCTCAGTGAGTGCTTAGAGTAAACAAAAGGTCTAATAATCTCAACCATGAAAGCGGTTCTTCTCCGAACTGGTTCGGTCCCGAATCTCTCAATCCAACCCTCATTTGTTCCCGGCTCACCGCGAGTACCTCACTTTGATTTGTACGCCGAGAAGAAAAAGTCGGTTTCTCCGAAGATTTCGCTGCATTTGGAGATCAATCGCCGCAACGATACCACTCCGGTGAGGAGTATTCGGAGAGTGATGTCAGAATCTGACGTGATCAGGTCGGAGAGTGAGGTTTCCGGCTGTTTCTCGAGACTCAGTGCTGCGGGATCTAGGTCCTTCCCTGTGAGAATACCGGAGGAGGAGTACGTGTCGGACGGTGAGGACGGCGTAGGAAGTGTCCGATCATTGTTTGTAACGGAAAGAGGATCCGATCGGAGGAATTACGCCGGGGACTGGCCGGAGGGCGGGATTCCTGTTGAGGAATTAGGGTTTTCCGGCGGTGGAATAGGTAAAGGAAGGATTCCTGGCGGTGGAGGCGGCGGCGATGACTTTGAATTCGGTGCTTTCACCGGCGGTGAAGCCGATCGCAGCAAGATCAGTGCGTATTATCTAGAGATGCTGAAGTCGGACCCTACGAATTTTCTTCTTCTTAGAAACTACGGCAAGTTCTTGCACGAGGTACTAACAATTCATCAATCGTTCCATCAAAATCTATTTTCTTTCTAATTTTCATTTGTCACGAGATTAGATTTTGATCTGATTTTATTTGATAACTGATTATGCATGTTATGTATTTAATTTGTTATTGTTGAAATTAGGTAGAGAGAGATACAGCAAAAGCTGAAGAGTACTATGGAAGAGCGATACTGGCAAGTCCTGGTGATGGAGAGGTGTTGTCTCTATACGGAAAGCTGATATGGGAAACAGAGGCAGACGAAGACAGAGCCAAATCTTACTTCGATCGGGCTGTTCACGCCTCTCCCGATGACTGGTACGAAAGTAGTGTATATATAGCCTATATATATATATATATATATATCAATACGTAGTGATCTCTTTCCCGCCAAAATTATACATACAAATATATATATATGAACGTGAGTGTGATGTTTAGGTGTTGATTGGATTTGAAATAAGAAGTTGTTGAAAGGCTAACATGTTTTTTTTTTTTTTTAAAACGGAATTTACAGTGTGGTGTTGGGATCGTATGCGCATTTCATGTGGGAAGCAGGGGGAGACGAAGACGAGGAAGAGGAGATAGAGATAGAAGGTAGTAAAGCGTCTCCGGCCATGGTTGCAGCTTTCTAACAGCGAAGAAAGAGTTTGTTCATCGACGCAGAGAAAGAGTGTATCAAGTCTGACGAAATCACTGTAATGTTTTACTAACCGTTAATGTAAATAACCGGAATAAACAAATGGTAAGATGATAAGGCAGAGTGAGAGAGAATGATTAGTTGTTGTTTGTTTTTCCGTGTTGTTTGTAGTTTGTACAGTGTAACTGCCATGGCATAAATGAAGTTCTAAGTTATTTCTTTTTGATATCTTCTTCCTCTCTTGTTAGGAGTCGGAGTTTCGGAGGGCCATATATATATATATATATATCTATATTCTCTTTCCTAAGAACAATTTATTTGTTCAATTTTGTGCCGAGTATTTTTCTGCTTTCAGATAACTTCAAAATTAATTTATGTAAAGTACAAACTTATCGATCTCACTTTGCAAATAACCACTCCGATTTCAGAGGTTCATGCAATTAACTTATGCAGCATATGCATAAAGGTATTGTTTAATAAATCACCAAACAAAAAGAAGCAAAACCAGGCTTGGTGTCATTGATTCCTTTTCCTCAGTAGGGAAAATTCTAGAATATTCTGAGAGTATTGTCGGGTCAACGACTGGTATTGTGAAACCCGGCTATTGTAAAATTTCTCACATTGGAATAGAAAGGAGGGGTTGTTATTGAGCAAGGAGTTAGCTTCACTTATTAGTTTAAGCTCGTTTAAGTTTTTGAATTAACTTATTAGTTTAAGCTCGTTTAAGTTTTTGAATTAGTTCGGGAAGTATTCAGTTCGTAACAAGCGGTAACAGAGTGAGTTCAATTCTTGATCTGAAAGTGTTCGAGTCGTGAGACAATGTTATGAATTCTTATCTCACATCGAATTTAAATAAAGAGAGAATAAAGAGAGAACTCTTATCTTACCTTAAATTTAAGGGGGAGAAAGTTAGATGTTAGAACCGATTAATAGTTTTGAACTTTTGAGTTGGACAGTAAAAACCCTGGTTAAGCTGTGTGCTCCTTGTAATAATCATCTCTCAGATTAATAGGGGCTTCAACCGGTTTTAGCCCCATCCGTGGTGTTGATAAAACACTGTCGATATCACGAGTAATAAAGTGCCTACATTATTAAAAGCATACCCATGTGTTGGCCCCCCGGAAGAAAAAGACAAGAGACAAACCTTCATTTGGCATTATTTTGCAAAAATCTACTCTTTTCCTATTCAGGATTCACTTCTATTAGTATAATCTTTTATCATTTGCATGAAGCAGTGAACCACAATTGAGTATATATATATATTATTCGAAAGTTTTAAGTTTATTGATATTGAGTATAATTATTACTACTATAATTTAAAACTCTATTTTCTTTTTTTGTCATACTCACACATAAATATTTTTTCTGAGACTTGGACTCTTAACTTTCTTTTAAAAGATAAGAGACTAATACTGTTAGGTATGCCTCCTTGATTAAAACTCCATTTTCCTATAATTAGGACTATTTGGGAATCAAAGGTTATGACCATATATTTCACGATTGTAGAATCTTGAGCTTAATTAATGCTGGCTCTGCTCTCGAATGTATGGTAGTACGTGGTACTACATACTGCACCATTGCTGGTACCTCTGTATGGGTACAGTGTGGCGGCAAAATAACAGCTAAAAAGAGTGTACGTGTGTGTTTAGCCAGGCGGAACATGGATGCGTTTCACTTGGTTGTTGAAAATTCCTAATCACATGACTAAAAGTACTTTAAAAAAAAGTTCTTTTGGATAAGCACGGGAGAAACAGTGAAACTAAAGGTGGAATTAGTTGGTGGGAAGATAAAGAGAGAAAAGAATAGGACAATGTTGAGTTTTGATGATCAAGGAAGAAAAAGGAGAAATTTTAAAAATTATAACTCTGGTCCTGAGGAGCTCTTTTAAGAAAATTACTTTTTTTTTTTAATTCAATTTTCTACAAGCAGAGAGAACGTACTCTCGGGTATAAAAAAAAGCAGACCAATCTATTAAATTTCGCCTTTTTTAGAACACAAAAATTGCTAATTAATATTATGTTTAGGAACACTGAATTAGTTATTTGGATTTGGAATTGAAGAAAATTTATTTTAAAGTTTGTATTAAATTTTTTCCAATTCCAAATTCAATGCACCGATTCGATCAATACTCCCAAATACAATATAAATATATTTTTTAATTCTTTTCTATTTCTAATTCTTTGAGAAGTGAAAATCTTAATCATCATAATACTAAATGGCCGGAGTAAACTCCGATTCTATTTATTGACTCTCTTTTTTCTTTTTCTTTTTTCCTCCAAGTCAATTCAAATGTAGCTTGATACAAGTGTAAATGGATAGTCCAGACTAGTAGCGGCCGGTATATGAGTGAGTGATAAATATGGCCATTGAGAACTGATAGTTTGGGCGACAAAGATAGGCATAACTCTTTTAAACTAAACCCCCAAGCTCATGGTTTTCCTAACAGCCTATTGCAGGAGGACATAAAGCAAAGAATTGCAATAATATATCTTAACATTATGCTTGCAGTATACAAAGACCATATATTAGACAAGTACTGCATGCCACATTGACAATATACTCCTATGTTATCACAGAAGCATGAAAATGGAAAATTAAGCTCAATCCTCTCCACAACATATTGGTTTAATCCAACAAGAACCACAGTTTCATATTGGTGAAAAAATATGGAGCATATATAGCAAGGAGAAGTTATTGTAGGAGCAGAAGCTACAGTTTCATCTCCTGAGCCATTTTGAGAACCCAATAACAAGGATGAGACGTGCATGTACGCGCTTCTCCATTTTTGGCTGGGGATTTGACTTTGATACCATTCTTTCACAATCCTTCAGCTGGGGATTGGCTTTGAGCCTCTGATACCATTCGACACCCTTTCTCGGCTTGGCTTGATCCTCATGGACTTGTTTACGTTCCTCCATTTCTAGTTGTGAATCCACCCAACCAATATTGATATTGTTTGCTTTATACATTATTACTTACGGTTTTTCATCTACACAATTAGAGAGTATCTACACATATAAGTGCCATCAAATCTCTATTCTTACAATGTGAGACGTCACATATGTAATTTATGTATTTTCTGTATTTCAACTGAGCCGAATAATAATTGGGTTGTGAGAATCAAACCACATATATGTTGGTTTTTGTGTTCTTGTAATTGCATTATAGGGTGTTAGTGTAATTTGGTTTTTTAGCCTGTCCTCTCTAGTTGTGGGAGGTTGTTTCTTGTGTCCTTTTGGTAATAAAATCACTTAACAACAAATAAGGTAATGGACTAAGCACACATTCATAAGAACTAGTATTTGCATGGTTTAAATAGTGTGACTACTATTGAGAGGAAAAGGAAATTATGCCATCTATGATAAGAGGAGGACTGTGTTGGGGATAATTAACTCCCTCCAACTCACTTAACGGTTGACTGTTGTTAAGAGTTAAATCCCTCATTCATCACACATAGCGAAAGCATCATCACATCACATTAACACAAGCATATATAAAGATAACAATCATACACATCCACGCACAACACAATATTTTACATGATTCACCCAACTCTAGGGTTACGTCCATGGGAGAGAGAGATTTCACTATTATGAATTAAGGAAGAGAATATACAACCACATGTTAAAACCCCACTCACTCACTTATCATCTATTTTGAGGTTATATGTATACACTCGGGAATTACATATACGCTCCCATCTCCTCACAACACTTACCCTTAAATCCCTTACATCTTTTCTCTCTTCTTTCTCTCTCTAAACCCCTCTTACCCATCTCTATTTATAGAGTCTTCAAAACTCAATTTCTTGTTGGACAAGTATTCCTCAAATTCAATTCCTTGTTGGATAAGGATCAACTTACCTACAAGGAGTTACCATATTCATCTTCAACTCTAAAATAACAGGTATAACTTCTTTCCCAAATCTTCAGCCTTTTTCTCCAAGTCTTCTGGATTTCAAAACCAATCAGGAAACTGTTTCTCGCAGCTTCCAAAATGAAAAAGGAAACTAATTTTCTGCACACAAATTTTAAGCCACAAACCCAACAATCTCCACCTTGGCTCAAAATTCAAACTTCACGTGCTTCTCCATAGCTCCACCTTGAACAAGGATCTCTTCATAGCTCCACCTCAACTGAAGATTTCTCAACCTCAAATAAAGCACTATGATGAACTTGAGAAACACTCTAACAATCTCCACATTTTCTCAAATTTCATCGTTCTTCTTTTCTCTATCTATCTCATTGGTGTTCAATTGCTCACGCATGGCAACCCACCAATCTTCAAACTCATCTTCATTAGTTGCTTCTCTGGATCAAAGCAACAAACATCTCCTCTTCACTCATCATATTCCCCTTTTCTCTTTATCGGGCTTAGAGCAAACCCCTTTATTCTTCACACCTCTTGCCCCATCTTGAGAACTAGCACCCACTCTTGACTTGTCCTTAAAACTTGTTCCTCGTGGGCTTCACCTCTATCACATTTGCCCCATCTTGAAAACGAGGATCCTCTGGCTTGTCACAAGACTTGTTTCTCATAGGCTTCACGCCATTACCTTTTTCATACCTTCGTGTCATCGTTAACTTTGATTGAATTTCCATAGCATCTCACTATCATCTTTTGCTCTGACAAACTTCACATCAATCTTCTTTTACTGATCTTCAGGACCAATCACATGCTCTGACCCACCATCGGCTCTGATACCAGTTGTTGGGGATAATTAACTCCCTCCAACCCACTCAACGGTCGGCTGTTGTTGAGAGTTAAATCCTCATTCATCACACACAGCGGAAGTATCATCACATCACATTAATACAAGCATATATAGAGATAACAATCATATACATCAACGCACAACAAAATATTTTACATGATTCACCCAACTCTAGGGTTACGTCCATGGGAGAGAGAGATTTCACTATTATGAATCAAGGAAGAGAATATACAACCACATGTTAAAACACCACTCACTCACTTATTATCTATTTTGAGGCTACATGTATACACTCGGGAATTATATATACACTCCCCTCTACTCACAACACTCACCCTTAAACCCCTTACATCTTTTTTCTCTTCTCCTCTCTAAACCCCTCATACCCATCTCTATTTATAGAATCTTCAAAACTCAATTTCTTGTTGGACAAGTATTCCTCAAATCCAATTCCTTGTTATATAAGGATCAACTTACCTATAAGGAGTTACCATATCCATCTTCAACTCTAAAATAGCAGGTATAACTTCTTTCCTAAATCTTCAGCCTTTTTTTCCAAGTCTTTTGGATTTCAAAACCAATTAGGAAACTGTTTCTCGCAACTTCCAAAACAAAAAAGGAAACTAATTTTCTGCACACAAATTTTGAGCCACAAACCCAACAATCTCTACCTTGGCTCAAAATTCAATCTTCATGTGCTTCTCCATAGCTCTACATTGAACAAGAATCTCTTCGTAGCTCCACCTCGAAGATTTCTCCACCTCAAATAAAGCACTATGATGAACTTGAGAAACACTCTAACAGACCGCAATATATTTATATATATATATATATATATATATCTATATATATATATATATATAGCTCTTGCCATCTACAAGACATCCATTATAATGGCATCTCCCTGTTTATAACACAAAGCGCTATTCTGTTTTTCTCAGGAACCAAACGAGAAACATGTAAGAATACAAATTTGGTTTTCTTTTGTTTAATTCGAAAGCAAACAGATGTAGCATTTCTAGGCCCTTAATGCACAAAATTTCAACTAGTGATTTGTGAGTTAGTTTCCTACACTCTTAAGCAGTTTCAAATAATATTAATGTCCAATTCCCAGTTAGCTCTTGGCAGCAATTCATTAATAAAATACCATATTCATTCTCTATGAAGAAAGTAAGCTGAAAGAAGATAACCAAGCCGTTACGCACTTTTAAAATTTTCTTATATTTATTTATTTTTTTCACCCATTGTTTCAAATAGGTAGTTCTTTCTCCTACACCTCTTGCACTCTCTCGGCTACTTTTTGTTTTCTTAGAGATGAAAATTTTACATTGTCCTCTTCATGAAAAGGCACTTTACCTACTAAACTTGGTAAACTAAAATGGTTGAATGTTTGAAGAGATTATTCAGGAATTTGTATAACATTGAACGCGGTGATTACACGTACGTTGAATTTTGTGTGGGTGGTGAAAGGAGATGATCAGACTTGATTTACCTTCACATTGCATTGTAAATTTCTTTTGGCTGTGGTACAAACAGAAAGGTCCATGCCAAATCCCCCATATATCTTCTCATGTGGCTGCCTTCACCCTCCTTTTTTTGTTTGTTTTGAAAGCATAATAATATTCTAAATGATTAAATACATTATCAGATTAATATATGGTCTCTTATTTCATATTCAAACCAGCATATGGTTTGTGCATGTCACGCTTTCCCATAACTAAACAAAATTGCTCTCACCTTTAGGAAGTTTCTTAGAATTGAAGGGGGGACATATTGGAGATCGAGTCTTCATCCGAGGAAACCAAGTTTGAGAAGTAAGCCCCAACCAGAATTTTGGACTATAGTTATTGACTTGTTTCTGATTCAATTTTTTATTTATTTTACCATATACGTTGCATGTGTTTTCAACCCCTTAGACTTGTGAATGAAGCCAATGAGGTAAGAAATGTGGAAAAATTTCCCGGCAAATCTCACCGTCTTCTTACCACCCAATTGACATTTGGGAGGATTGATGTCACTGTTGTTGTTAATGGATATAAGAAACGTTGAGCTAAACCTTAATTTACAGAGGTCAAAGCCGAGTTAATTAATAGTAGGAGACTTAGAATTATCCCACGCTGCATGGATTTTTTTTATTTTACAAAAAGGTCAGTCGAATGGACGAAGCTCCTATTATTGTGAGGTTTGGGAGGGGTCAAATCTACATGACCTTACCTCCGCATAGAGTTTTTATTTTCCCTAAGGAAAGATTTTAGCACCAAAAAAAAAAAAAAAAAAAATTGAAAAGCATCTGGCATAGGTAAAACTAATCCCCAATAATTCTAAAGAAAAAAAAAATGTCAATAAATAGCTAGTATTATAAATGTTGCAAGAACAATGAGACTAATATATATCTTCTCCATATATTAATCCATATTGATGACCCTCTCTAGGAATTAGATTATCATACAGTAGGTATTCCACTGACGAGATTATATTAAAATGTCGATAAGTCATTATTACTTAATTGCTTTTTATCTGAAAGATTAATGATCTTTGACATTGAATTGGTTATCTTCAACAAAAGCTTGCAATTATCATCCTTGGGGTTCAGTCAATGAGGTTTGGTTTTAGCTAAATGTTTGGTGTAATTAATGACAAACATTGCGTAGCTTGATTGCTAATGTATGCTATATCATACATTACGATTTTGCGTTCCATCAGTCAATTTTTAAAGATCTTAAAATAGTATGTATTAACATCAATAAGGGGTAATAGTAAACGCCAGCCCAGGCTCACAAATTTTAGCTTATGGGTTCGAGTTTAGAAACAACCATCGTCATTGTCATCCTTACCTTTTTATTCTATGTGAATGGGGTCAGGCCAACTGCATAAATTCTCTCCAAATTACAGTCCGTAAGCATATGAGATTAGCCACAAAAATACTCTTTTTTCTAGAGTTAATTTAATTAAGCAACCACTTTGTGTAAAAAATGCCAAAGATCAAGTCCATATCTTGATTTCTCAATCTTGAACTATGCATATAAACACTGATATACTTTTTTACACTTAATTTCATCTCTTTTCAATTGGCAATCTGATGTTTATGGTAGTAACTTTGTCCATAGCCAAAGGCAATTCTGGGTTAAGGACTTCTATGATTCAGATAAATATTCTTCATTACAGGTTTTATGTGTTAGATTAATACGGTCTTCGTTGACTGTCAATTTTATGATACAGTAATTATTATCTACATTGTGGAACATCTATGACTTCAGTTTGTTTAAAAATTTCAATTATTATTTTATTGCATGTTTATCATTTTTCTGTTATGTCATGTTGAATTTGAATGGAATTCAAAAAAGTGGATTTGGAGGAAAAAGAAGCCCATTTACGTATCATTTAAAATATTAATTATAAGGATTCTGTTGGTGGAGAGGAGATGAATTATATGGAAACTGTTACATTCAAAGAGCAGTTAGAGAGCACTAAATATTCAGAAAATTCAGAAGTACTAGGAAAACAGTTCTCAAGATGTTGGATATATATATTTATATAATATATTACGTGAAATATTCAAAGAACATGACAAAAATGATGACTAGTTTGGTGATGGCAGGAGGATTAATAATTAAATCAAAGAATTAGAGGCAGGTGAAACTAATTATTGAGTTATGATACTCATAAAACACAGATTTTCATAAAAATTAACAGAAAATAATGGTTAGTTTGTGTATTAGCATTGAAAAATAAGCATGGAATTAAGAAGAATGCTGTGTGTAACATGTGTTCTAGGCTTACTATACTCACTGCAAAATATTGAGAATAAATCATCTTACATTATGCATTAAAATCTAGTTACCTCAAACCCTAGTTTTTTCATGTATTGAACTTGAATTGATTTAATACTTGAGTTAGAAAAATTCTATTTTGAGTGTTTAAAAAAGAAATGAAAATTAATATGATTCTACCATATTTATGTACATGTGCTTTAAGGAAATTCTCAGCCACCCGGTTCTACCCTCTAATTTTTTTTAATTACCTTTTCTACCCTCCAATTTGAAGACATTAATAGTATTACCTAATCATTTTTTTAATGAAATTCAGTTGCCCATGAGTTCTATCTTTTGTTGAAAAAAGCAAAGATGCATTGTTGCTAGGCGACTTCCCTCTCATTTTCCTTGTTGTTGGAAGCTTACTATATAATATTGTGTGTGTATATATATATATATATATATATATATATATGAATTTGACCTCATCTTTGAATTAATTACCTCCCATGCAGTACTTGTATATAAAAGCAGCATGTCCCTGTTAGATTATCTTTATCATACAATCTAGCTAGTTTGATTTTCTTGTGCAAAAATGGTTAGGCCTCCATGCTGCGACGAAAAGGGCTTGAAGAAGGGGCCATGGACACCAGAAGAGGATCAAAAGCTGGTTGATTACATTCACAGACATGGCCATGGAAGCTGGAGATCACTCCCCAAGAAGGCGGGCTTGAACCGGTGTGGAAAGAGCTGCAGACTAAGATGGACTAATTATCTGAGACCTGATATCAAGAGAGGAAAATTCTCTGAAGAAGAGGAGCAAATCATCATCGACCTTCATTCAATTCTCGGAAACAAGTACATATACACAAGTTTAACATTGCTAGAAATACAATATAAATGGCTTAATTAACCACTTATGTTTTGATGCACTTGCAGGTGGTCAAGGATTGCTACCCATCTTCCAGGACGGACCGATAATGAAATCAAGAACTTCTGGAACACCCATCTCAGGAGGAAGTTCCTCCAAAGGGGTATTGATCCAAAAACACACAAGCCAATAGCTGAACTCAATTTAATTGCTAATCTTTCTCAGATGCTATCTGTGGCAGCCTTGCCCAATTTGATGAACCCTAATTGGGACAGTGCTCTTAGGTTACAGGCTGATGCCACTCAACTAGCCAAACTCCAACTCTTGCAGAACATATTACAATTCATAAATACAAGTCCCCTTCCAAGTACTATAGAAGAAACTGGTCTTTTGGGATCTCATGATCTTAATCATACCCAATTTTCTTCCGAGCTTACGAATCCAATTACAACCCTACCACCAATAGCCAACTCATTGGCATGTTTTGATCAAGTTGGCTCTTATAACCAATCAGATGTTCTTAATTTCAATAGTAACGGCTTGAACTACACATATTATGATGCTCAAACAGATCAAAATTCACTTCCTCCATTAGTTTCAGCCTCTCTAGAGACTTCCTTTAATGACCCAATGAAAAGCAATACGAACCTAACTCATCTTTCTACTCACTCACCCACCTCCACCTCCACCTCCAATTCTGTCTTTGAAGCTTGGGAAAAGTTATTGATTGATGAAGCCACCTGGAAAGACATTTTAGAATAGGTATGTTATGCTTTTATATATTTGTACACACACATACAGGTTTTCTTCCTGCACATTACTTATCTTTTCTTTCTTTTTGGTATTTGCAGATAAGCTTCGTGCCATCATTGCCTATGGATTTCATTGGAAAATATCATTGGAATTTGTATCGAATTCTCAAATTCACAGGAAATATGCTTATTTTTTCAGTTTCATTAATTTGTTCATTTGAGAGGATTGCTGCTCACTAGCTACCTTTGATGAAGGCAACTTAATTATGATATTTGTATAAAGACTTCACTAGAAGTTCATGCATGTAAACCATCTCTTGCAGAGTTTCCATTTCATATATATATGAAATTCTTTGATCATGTACTCCCGTTTTTTTTTTTTTTTTTTTTTTTTTTTTTTTTTTTTTTTTTTTTTTTTTTCATGTACTCGTTTTTACACCATATATAGTTTCTCTTTTCTATTTTTAGTCACTAGTTTCTTTTAATCAAAGTAATCTGAAACACCAAAGTCCAAACTAACAATATATAGTGGGTAATAGTGGGTGCATATATAACGTGCAAGTGCAAGCAAAGACGTTTACTGTGCATTATTCTATATGGCACATATATATATATATATATATATAACTGTCTTCTCCCATTGATACTTGACAGACTTCATATATAACAAGTTGAGTTGATTAGATATATACAATTTATTGTAAATTAAAAATGAGTTAGTTGCCAGGAGCTAGGCACAAAAATAGATACATGAAAAGGAACCAGCTTTTTAAATATTGCAATTAAGAGTTCTCTTTCGACATTAGGTAGGATCATTTTCGTCTAATTCAAGCCACTGATTGCCCTGTCTCTCTCATCTCACTTAAAAAAACTGTATTGATTAAGGGTGAAACATAAATGCTAAACTCCAATAAATTATAAAATATTGAAAAAAAAAATCGACTCACAGGCCATCATTATTATTATTATTATTTCATGCAAGTAACTGAATATATATAGAAGAAGGAAAAATGTACGAAAATGCAAGGGGCATATCCCAGGTCCAAGACGAGCCCAATGGCAAATGAGGCTTTACAGTCCAAGATCCAAATGAAATGAAAAGTCCCCAGGCCCAACAAGACCCAAACATTTTGAAAAGCAAAACCCGCCAAACCCAAGAAATGAAAAAATGAACTCAATTCAAAATTCTCAAAAATTCGTTCCAGCAGCTAACAGAAAGCATAAATCATGATTATCAACAATTGAAGGTATCCATGTCATGGAGGCTGATGTTTTGGTCATGGTGGTGGTTGTGGTGGTATCTGTTAAGGATGGTGCAGATGCTTGTGTAGGGAGTAGGGGGGTTAAATTTGGGGCTGGTGATGTCGTGGTACTGGCAGTAGATGAGCTGATTGAAAAGTCCGGAAATTCCAAAATGGATTTGTGTGTAAGGCCTCAAAGAAGGAGCTAGGAAAGTTCCATTCTCGGGCAATGTTCTCTGCAAAGGGACATTTGCATTTTTTAATAAACAAAAATTTCAGAGTTGACCACTAAGTTGAGAGTCTGAAATGGAGGTAATGACTGATTTCGAAAAATTCTGTTGTTTCTTTCCTTCCACACATAACAGATATAGCTTACTAAAGTCAGCTTCCGGCCATATATATATATGTGTGTGTGTAATAATGATATGGAGTATGAAAGTTGGACAACTCCAACTGATTTATGTGAGTGAGGACTGATGTCATTAAGATGTCATTTTAAAGTGCTTATATGTGTTATTCTCTAACTTTACCAATAATTTTGGTGGTTCTTTTTGAAAGTTCAAACTTGTCTTTTCTCGCGCAAACAACTCACAATAACACGAACTAAGCAAGTGCAACCGATCAGTCTAAAGTGCTTCTAGTTGTACCCTGCAGAACTTCATGACCGAGAATGTTGGGCCAGTCCGCAAAAGTGAGACCTGTCAGCCTTTTCAAAATACGCAAGCATGACGACACACTTCACAACATAACATATCCGTGGTTCACCCTAAATAAGGGCTACATCCACGGATATATGAAGAGATTCCACTATAATGATGAGGAGATATGTAACAACCCTAGCTGATGCCAAGAATTTTACAAAAAATTCGACATAACCTCCCCTAAAAATAGGCCTACCATACCCTGTTTAAATTCATTTTTGACTTATCATGGCTCAATTTCCGAATTCACGGCAACAGTATATGATCATACACAATCAAATAACACCGATAATTACTTTAACTAAAATTATCCTTCCCATTCATCAACAAGGTTACATTACAAAGTTTTGCAAAATATACATATATACCTTTATACTTTTAGTGCTTTGCAAAAATAATGGGAAATATACAAAAGACACAAAAGTGAGCTTCTAGTATCGCTCAAGCTTAAGGTGGGTTGTCGTCCACCGATTCTTTTCCAAGACCTGAAAAAAATGTATAAATAGTAGGGTGAGCTATATGCTCACGTAGGGGATCAAATACAACATACAAGTCAATTCCAAGTATAAACAATGCAATGCAATGAAATGAAATGCAATGCATGTCAATGACACTCCCCATTTTCATTCTCAAAATCATCACTTTCAAACGTTAATACAGCCTGCCCTTTGGTAACCCCGCCGCGACACGAAAGGAGGATTGGCTAGTGTCCCTGACCCTTGGTAACCCCGCGGCCTCATTATGGGGCCCAGCTAGCTCAACCACGCTAGGGCGACTCCCTAGTCCCCTCTAGGCTATATTAACCTCCGGCCCGTTGGTAACCCCGCAGCGACCGGGTTTCGCATAAAACCATTTTATCAAAAACACTTCCCTGAAATTCCCCATATTTATTTCAAGAACAATTTCTCCCATTTCATGCAAACCCAATGGTATGTGCATGTATATATGTTCCATACATTCAATATCATGGCATTTAAAATTTCCCATCATAAAATTAAACATTCAACATGTTCAACATCTCCTAAGTAATTATTAACACATTAAGATGCAACAAAATACATTTAAGCATGTGCATGTATATATATATATGAGCTCAACATCATGAATTGGGAAATTTGGAGCAATTTAAATAAGCATACTCTCATACATCAATTTCAGCATGCTAGCACATAGTAAACATAGGAAATTAACAACTAAATATAATTTGCACATGAACTAACCATATTCAAGATCGTGAAAACCCTCTAGACATCATTAATACCATCATAGATATAATTAACTCTAAATTAAGCATATTTAATACAACATGGAGGTAAAATTCACAATAGAACAAGACTAGAGTGGATTAAGATGCCCCTACCTCAAAATAGGCAAAACCCTATAAATGGGTTTAAATTTTTGAGCTCCAAGGAAGGTAGCAAAACTGGAATTGCTGGTACTAGAACGTAGAGCTCGTCACACTCGTTGTTTTGCCTCAAACGGCACTTAAATCCGGCAAGTAATGAAGATGGAATCAAGGATTGAAGTTGAAAAAGAAAAAAGAAAAGAAAAAAACAGAAGCAGCGAGAGAGAGAGATATGAGCTGCCGAGAGAGAAAACAATTTGGAATTAAATGGGTCTGCAATGACCCTTATAACTCAAGTGGGCCCCACAGTTGAAAAGTCAAAAACTTTACATTCTCCCCAACTTTAAAAAAGATTTCGTCCCCGAAATCAAGACATACCTGGAGAAGAAAACAACGCTGGGTACTTGGACCGAACCTCCTGTTCGAGCTCCCAAGTAGCCTCCTCGACTCCGTGGTGTCTCTAAAGGACTTTCACCATTGGTATCGTCTTGTTCCTCAACACCTTCTGTTGTGTGTCAAGAATTTGAACTGGTCCTTCCTCGTAGGAAACATCCTCATCAATGTCCACATCAACCCAACTCAAAATGTGAGATGGATCTGGCTCGTACTTCCGTAACATCGATACATGGAAAACATTGTGGACCCTATCCAACTGTGGTGGCAAAGCAAGCCTGTAGGTAGCCTCTCCTACTCGGTCCAAAATCTCAAACGGTCCAATAAATCGTGGCGACAACTTGCCACTTTTCCCGAATCTCATCAATCCCTTCCGTGGAGAAACCCGTAGAAAAACATGGTCTCCCACCTCAAAGGATAATGGTCGTCTCCGCTTATCCGCATAGCTCTTCTGTCGGCTCTGAGCTGTAAGTAACCTTTGTCTTATCAACTTAATCTTCTCAGTAGTCTCGAGTACAATGTTGGGTCCTAAGGCGGCTGTCTCACCTACCTCAGTCCAACAAACAGGAGACCTACAAGGTCTACCATACAACGCCTCAAATGGAGCCATCTGGATGCTCGCCTGATAACTGTTGTTGTAGGCAAACTCAATAAGTGGAAGGTGATCCTCCCAACTACCTCCCAAATCAAGTACACATGCCCGAAGCATATCCTCCAAAATCTGGATAGTACGCTCCGACTGACCGTCCGTCTGTGGATGGAATGCCGTACTAAGATGCAACGCTGAACCAAACGCTACTTGAAGTCCTTCCCAGAACTTCGAAGTGAACTTAACATCCCTTTCTGACACAATGGTTACAGGAACTCCATGCAACCTTACAATCTCCTTCACATAAAGAACACCAAGCTTCTCTGCATCATCTGTTGCCTTAATAGGCAAAAAGTGAGCCGTCTTGGTCAATCTGTCAATGATGACCCATACGGCCTCATTGCCCCTCCGTGACCTTGGAAAACCTGTCACAAAATCCATAGCAATATGCTCCCATTTCCATTGCGCTACAGGTAATGGTTGCAACAAACCAGCTGGCCTCTGATGCTCGGCCTTCACCTGCTGACAGGTAAGGCATCTAGCCACAAACTGTGCAACATCATTTTTCATCCCGCTCCACCAATACTGACGTCTCAAATTGTGATACATTTTAGTACCACCTGAATGAACTGCAAAACGGGAAGTGTGAAACTCCCGTAGGACATCCTCACGACAAACTGTGGGAACCACCAACAAACCCCTGAACCGTAGACCCCCATCTGCATGCAAGGCCCAATCTTTCACTGTCTCACCACTTGAGATCAAAGCGTGGATGGCATCTAAGTCCGGGTCCTGTCTCTGTGACTCAATCACTCGTACAACAAGAGTAGGCTGAGCCACAAGACTAAATAAGAATGCCGACTCACTGTAACCATCATCATCAAAACACTGTAATCCCATCTCTGCCAGATCTTTAAGCATCTTCCACTTCCGAATAGCTAAACTGGCCAAAGTTCCACGAGATTTTCGGCTTAAGGCATCAGCTACAACATTTGCCTTGCCTGGATGATACTGCAAATCAAAGTTGTAATCTTCCAAGTACTCAACCCATCGTCTCTGTCTGTTGTTCAAGTCCTTTTGGGAGAAAAGGTACTTGAGACTTTTGTGATCTGAAAATACCTTGAATCTCTCACCATACAAATAATGTCTCCAACACTTCAAGGTAAACACAACTGCCGCTAACTCCAGATCATGAGTAGGGTAGTTAAGCTCGTGAGTCTTCAACTGTCGAGACCCATAAGCCACTACTCTACCATCCTGCATTAACACACATTCCAACCCGTCACGTGAAGCATCACAATAGATCACATAACCCAAGCCTCGCTCAGGTATCACCAACACTGGAGCTGTAGTCAATCTTGTCTTCAATTCCTAGAAAGATGACTCACAGGCCTCATTCCAGACAAACTTGACCCCTTTCCGGGTCAAACGGGTCATAGGAGCTGCCAAACGGGAGAAATCCTTCACAAATCTCCGATAGTAACCCGCTAAACCAAGAAAACTGCAGATCTCAAACACATTCTTGGGTCGCTCCCAAGTCAAAACTGCTTCAACCTTTGATGGATCAACTGATACTCCACCTTCTGAAACAACATGCCCCAAAAACTTCACCTCCTGTAGCCAAAACTCACATTTCTCGTATTTGACATACAATCGGTGTTCCCGCAAAATCTGTAAAACAATACTCAAATGGACCTCGTGATCTTCCCGAGTCCGTGAGTACACAAGAATGTCATCTACGAAAACTACCACAAACTGGTCCAAGTAATCGTGAAAGACGCGATTCATCAAGTCCATGAATGCCGTTGGCGCATTAGTCAAGCCAAAAGGCATAATAAGGAACTCATAGTGTCCATACCGTGTACGGAATGCTGTCTTTGGGATATCCTCATCCCTAACCCGCAACTGATAATAGCCAGACCTCAAGTCAATCTTCGAGAAACAATTGGCTCCCCTCAACTGATCAAATAAATCATCTATCCTTGGCAAAGGATAATGTTCTTGATGGTGGCATGATTCAACTTCCGATAATCAATGCATAACCTCAACGAACCATCTTTCTTCTTAGCAAACAAGACCGGTGCGCCCCACGATGACACACTCGGTCGGATGAAACCTTTCATCCTCAAATCATCAAGCTGCCTCTTTAATTCTTCTAGTTCAACTGGTGCTATACGATACGGTGCCATAGAAATCGGCGCGGTACCTGGCATTAACTCAATAGAGAACTCCACTTCTCGGTGTGGAGGCAACTCTGTCAAATCTTCTGGAAAAACATCCAAGAAGTCACAAACAATCGCCGGATAAACTTTTCCCACGACATCATCTTCTTCGGCTAGAAGACTAGCTAAGAAATAATCACCATGACTTCATCCACGAACTCCATAAAACGATGAAATGTGGAAATCACTCCGATCTCCCACGAAAAAGAAACAGTCTCCCTCGGGAGTGCAAACTGTAACCCTTCCTCTGTAACAGTCGATCGTGGCATGAAATGAAGCCAACCAATCTATCCCGAGAATGACATCAAAGCTAGTCATCTTCAGGAGGATAAGGTCAAACACGAAAGTTCGCCCGACTATCATAATGGGACACTCCCGCACAATTCAGTTCAAAGACACTGAAACCCCAACTGGCGTATCAACACTCAACGCCCGTTCTAAGAAACTAACTTCCAACCCCGATGTAAGTGCAAATGATGATGAAATGAAAGAATGAGATGCACCAGAGTCAAATAAAACACGGGCCCAACAACCAAACACTGGAAATATACCTCGAAGGACTGACGGTCCAGAAGATGCATCAGTCTGTGCCAGTGCAAAAACATGTCCCTGTGGTACCTGTGCCTGAGGACTGCCAACTTGAACACCTGACTGCTGCACTGACATAGTAGGAGTATCCCTCCTAACTGATTGTGAACCCTGTGAAGACATAGTAGGCTGTGGTGGTGGTGGTCTGAAACCTGACTGAACTGTAGCCGATTGTGACGGCCTCTGCTGTGACCCTCTGCCACTAATGGTGCCTGCTCTCTGACTCGGACAATCACGAATCAAGTGACCCTACTGGCCACACCCATAACAAGCCTTCGGAGCTGATGAAACTGAAGACGATCTCATCGGACAACTGGACTTGTAATGTCCGGGCTGCTGACACTGATAACAAACAACTGCACTCTTGTCAGATCCAGCTGGCATAGGAGTGGTAGGAGCAGATCTTGTAGACTGTTGCCCCTGAAACTGAGATGGACTGCCCCTATTCCTTTTCCAAGAAGATCCCTCTGAGGATGGCCCTGCACCCCTCTTTTGCTTCAATTGCTCTCTTCTTGCATCCTTCTCTCTATTATCAGCCTCCAGCATCAAAGCCCTTTCCACTGCTTCAGAGTAAACCTTAATAAACTGTGCTGTGATCAACGGCCTCATTCGATCATTAAGACCCGAGACAAACTTCCGAGTCTTGTTAGCTTCATCTCTTACCACTTCTGGAGCAAAACGGGAGAGTGAGGTGAACTTGTTCTTATACTCCGCCACTGACATGTTCCCTTGAAGAAGATTATGAAACTGGTCTTGTAACTCCCATCTTTTGGAAAGCGGAAAATACTTTTCATAGAACAGTTCCTTGAACCTGTCCCAACTCATCTCGTCAATCTTATACTGGTTAGTGATCGATTTCCACCAAACCTTGGCATCCATAGTAAACTTGTAAGTTGCTAGGATGATCTTCAAGTGATCCTCTGTCACATCCATTGAGGTCAACTGAGTTTCAACTTGATCCATATAGTTGTCGGCTACCATTGGATCCGCATTGCCCTCAAATATAACCGGCATCAGCTGAGAAAACCCCTTAATGATCTTGAGACGCTTCTGAGCTGGAGTCTCCTCAACTCAAACTGTAGGTTGTGGTACCAACTGCGGCTGAGCAACAATCGTTGCCCTCACGACATTTTGCAACAAACGATTAAACTCCAGTGCCACAAAACCTTCACCCACTTCTACGGGTACGGATGTTTCAACATTCTCTCTTCTTGGGGGAACAACTCTTGGGGGAATCAAGTCCCTAAGAAGCATGTTCTCATCAACTGGCTCCGCCGGATTGGAGCTAGAGCTCTCACCAACATCACCCCTTGTTGGTCTAGGGCCAACTTCTCTAGGTTCCTCACGCCGTGACATCGTGCTATAAAACGAGAAAATGATTCAGAAACATGACACTAAGGTCCACTGTGGACGACTCAACAAGAATTAATACCGTACAACACTTAGCATGCAAGACTATGCAAGAAATATTTTAACATAAACAAGTAAGCAAGTAAGCACATAGGCAGTTAAGCATGCTCATTTAAATAAGATACCACGTAGCAAGTAGTCAAGTAAGCAACACAAACAACATTCCATGCGACTCTATGTAGGCCTCTACCCGTCGTCCTAAAGGTTTTCGAACCTTTGCTCTGATACCAAATTTGTAACGACCCTAGCTGATGCCAAGAATTTTACAAAAAATTTGGCATAACCTCCCCTAAAAATAGGCCTACCATACCCTGTTTAAATTCATTTTTGACCTATCATGGCTCAATTTCCGAATTCAGGGCAACAGTATATGATCATACACAATCAAATAACACCGATAATTACTTTAACTAAAATTATCCTTCCCATTCATCAACAAGGTTACATGACAAAGTTTTGCAAAATATACATATATACTTTTATACTTTTAGTGCTTTGCAAAAATAATGGGAAATATACAAAAGACACAAAAGTGAGCTTCTAGTATCGCTCAAGCTTGAGGTGGGTTGTCGTCCACCGATTCTTTTCCAAGACCTGAAAAAAATGTATAAATAGTAGGGTGAGCTATATGCTCAGTAGGTGACACTTAAGACACAAATCTTGTGTCCTTGTGAATTCAAGCAAAGCATAGGCCAATGGGAGATAGGGATCATACAACGTAGAGGATCAAATACAATATACAAGTCAATTCCAAGTAGAAACAATGCAATGCAATGAAATGAAATGCAATGCATGTCAATGACACTCCCCATTTTCATTCTCAAAATCATCACTTTCAAACGTTAATACAGCCCGCCCTTTGGTAACCCCGCCGCGACACGGAAGGAGGATTGGCTAGTGTCCCTAACCCTTGGTAACCTCGCGGCGTCATTATGGGGCCCAGCTAGCTCAACCACGCTAGGGCGACTCCCTAGTCCCCTTTAGGCTATATTAACCTCCGGCCCGTTGGTAACTCCGTAGCGACCGGGTTTCGCATAAAACCATTTTATCAAAAACACTTCCCTGAAATTCCCCATATTTATTTCAAGAACAATTTCTCCCATTTCGTGCAAACCCAATGGTATGTGCATGCATATATGTTCCATACATTCAATGTTATGGCATTTAAAATTTTCCATCATAAACTTAAACATTCAACATGTTCAACATCTCCCAAGTAATTATTAACACATTAAGATACAACAAAATACATTTAAGTATGTGCATGTATATATATATATATGAGCTCAACATCATGAATTGGGAAATTTGGCGCAATTTAAATAAGCATACTCTCATACATCAATTTCAGCATGCTAGTACATAGTAAACATAGGAAATCAACAACTAAATATAATTTGCACATGAACCAATCATATTCAAGATCGTGAAAACCCTCTAGACATCATTAATACCATCATAGATATAATTAACTCTAAATTAAGCATATTTAATACAACATGGAGGTAAAATTCACAATAGAACAAGATTATAGTGGATTAAGATGCCCCTACCTCAAAATAGGCAAAACCCTAGAAATGGGTTTAAATTTTTGAGCTCCAAGGAAGGTAGCAAAACTGGAATTGCTGGTACTAGAACGTAGAGCTCGTCACACTCGTCGTTTTGCCTCAAACGGCACCTAAATCCGGCTAGTAATGAAGATGGAATCAAGGATTGAAGTTGAAAAAGAAAAAAGAAAAGAAAAAAGTAGAAGCAGCGAGAGAGAGAGATATGAGCTGCCGAGAGAGAAAACAATTTGGAATTAAATGGGTCTGCAATGACCCTTATAACTCAAGTGGGCCCCACAGTTGAAAAGTCAAAAACTTTACAAGATATTAAAATTTGTAGAGTATTAATAACACTAGAACATATACACTCATAACTCCATCATGAGGCTGCTCTTATGGATACATATATCTCCGCTCATACCTCCCAACAATACCATAGGTATTTATTTGTAATATATCACTCCACCACATGGTATGATATTTTTCGCTTCATGATTTTTTCTTATTTTTTATCCCAAAAGGCCTCATACGATTTGGATATAACACTGGCGTATATAAGCACTTCATCTTCACCTGGTACAATTAATATTGTCCGCTTTGGGCTGAAGCCCTTATGGTTTTGTTTCGAAGCTACAATCCAAAACACATTGTACGATATAGAGAGTACCAATCATACAAATATAACACTTCATTTCTCAACACCCAGCAGTATCTCGCACCTGCTTACAAGGCCGCCACATTCTTCCCCCTCCCTTAGAGGCCTGACGTCCTCGTTGGTGCACTTCAATACCATACAATTCACTCCACCACATGGTATGATATTGTCCGCTTTAGACCCTAGTCCGCATAGTTTTTTGCTTTGACTTTTTTTTCCCAAAAGGCTTCATACTATTTGGAGACAACACTAATACATATTACATATATGCACAATGTGAGATCCTACATCCGTAACCTGCTAATTAGATGATAGCTTGCCAGTGCCTCGTTGCCACACTATTTATAAAGTCACAACACATTTCTTTAGAGCGAAAGGATTATAATGCCTGGGTGACCAAGACTTGGCTTACAAAAAATTCTTTAGAGACCAAGACTTGTCTTACAAAAACATTATCATATAAGATAACTCTAAAATATAAATAAAATTTGAGACAAATCCTAACAAAAGATTCACACTTGTTAGAAAGTCTCCTGAAGTCTCCTGCTAACCCTACGCAATAACTAAACTAAGGTGCACCAATAAACTTTATTAATTTCCAATCAATTGATTTTTGGCAAACCAAAATATAATAACTATACTAGTTATCCTTCGTATTATATATATATATATATATATATAAAATCCTTATGTCCTCCCACTTGAGCTACTTATATCATTATTTAATAATCAATTTATCTTCTAAAATATGAGAAAATTATTAAAATATTTTTCAAATAAATAAATAATTACTAATTTAGAGGAAAAACTTGACAACACACACACACATATATATTTTCCCCGTAAGTGAGAGTCTGGTATAAAAGAAAAGAAAAAATTTACAGAAAAATTTGGCATACTCAAGGCCCAAAATAAAAAGAGGCCATGAGGCCCAAAGGGCAACAAACAACGCCAAAAAAAAAAAAAAAAAAAAAAAAAAACTCAAAAGCACTAAACAATAGGACCCAGCCCAGAAAAAGAGCCTTTGCAACCAAACAACATTTAAACTTGCAATCTTTAACTAAAACAAATACATTTAAACTAGCAATCTAACCGTTAGCCATGAGAGGGGCAGATAAACAAACCAGAGAGCATCATCAGTGGTTAAGTGAAGAAGAAGAAAGTGATATTGTGGTTAGGCTCAAAAATGGATGAGGGGAGGTTCCATTTCTTTGCAATTAACTATAAATTATTTTATAAACTCAGAATAATTAATTACGTACAAATTATAAAAGTAAAGTTTAGAGTTTGAAAACTAACAAGAAAGCATAAATACATATATACACACACACACATACACATATAAATAACACTTTATTATCTTATTGAAAGTTGAAAGGACTTCTTAAGCATAAGAAATAAAAAGTTGACTAAATTTGATAATAAAACTGTTCGACGTAATTGAAAACAACAGACATGCATCACATCCAGATCAGATCGAAGCAGGTGAAACTATTATTGAGTAATGATGCTTAAAAAAACATAGTTTGTGTGTTAATATTAAATAAAAAGCATAGAAGAAGAATGCTGTACGTGTATAACATGCACGTGTTCTAGGCTAACTATTACCCACATACTGCAAAATATTGAGAATAAGTCCTGCTTTGTGCATTCAAATCTAGTTACCTCAAGCCGGAGTTTGAGTGTACGTTTAGAAGTAAGCTTCAAAGATTAATCAAATATATATATATATATATATAGAGAGAGAGAGAGAGAGAGAGGAAAGGTGCATGCACGAAATGAAAATATGGTTCTAGCTGCCATATTAATGCACATGTTCTTTATGGAAACTCAGGCGCACGGTTCTACCAGTGACTGACGGGGGCCGCGGCCCCGACTGAATTAATTTCTTTTTATTTGTATTATATGTCTATAAATTTTGTTAATTTTTTTTTTTTTTTAAATGACCTTATTGAAATTATTAAAAAAAAACTTACAATTTATAAATCTGCCCCCATATTTTTAGATCTGACCTAATCATCTCTCTTATTTTCTATTTTCTTTTTATATATATAGACTTTAAAATTTAAAATTGTCTACCCTCAAAATTTTTATATTTTCATTTTGTATATTTAGAAATTTAAATCCAAAAATTGTCCATTTTTCTCATTTATAGCCTCCAATTTAATCTCTCTTTCATTGGACACTTCATATCTATATTAAATCTTCATATTTCTTTCAACTACTTATTCGATAATGAAAGATCACAATCTTTAAGAAGGTAAAAAAAAAAAAAAAAACCTAAAATTTGAAAATTTGAAAATTATTAATATAAACTCGTTATAAAAATGTGACAATCCAAAGAATAAAGAACAAAATTCACTTATTTATTTGGATTAATCTAATTATTGAGTAAATTTTGATTTGGACAACCTGAAAATAGTTTAAGTTTTGAATACAAAAGCATATGAAAGTAAGGAATTTTTAGGTTTTGTTGAGTCCTATCTACTTTTACTTATTAAAAAAATCCTAAAAGTATTCATTGTCCCATGCACAGAGATGCACTAGAATACAAGCACAAGTTATAATTATTTTATTTTGCATAATTGTGTTATCTTAAATATACCTACTTTTTCTCTTCAATTTTGTATGAAAATTTTACTTAATAATAAAAATTATTAAGAACTTGTGTAAATGTGACAAACAAAAATATTATCAATCAAAATTAAGTTATTGAATTTATTATTTTGTTCAAAAATAAAAAATTATCTTCAATTTTTTTTTTTTTTTTCAATGACGCCCCCCTCAACAAAATTTATGCGTCGGTTCGTGAGTTCCACCCCCTAACTTTTTATATTACCCTTTCTATCCTCTAATTTAAAGACACTAGCATTACCTAATCCTTTGTTTAATGCAATTCAGTTGCCCATGAGTTTTACCTTTTTGTTGATAAATGCCAATTCCTATAATTGCTAGGGGACTTCCCCCCTGATGTACCTTCTTGTTGGAAGCTTAATATATAATATTGGGGAAAAAAATGAAATTGACCATATGATCTTTGAATTACATCTCCCATGTACTTAAAAAAACCAGCTTGCATGTCTCTGTAAGATTATCTCTATCATACAATCAATTCTAGTTTGATTTTCTTGGGCAAAATGGGCAGATGTCCATGCTGCGACGAAATGGGCTTGAAGAAGGTGGTGGGACACGTGCAAGTTTAAAAAAAATTTCGAGAGATTTTGATTCAAAAATCTTGATTCATCACATAGAGACAAGTTTTATGCAAAAATAAAATATTATGTATCATTCAATTAATAAATTGAATATTTACATCAAAGATTTGAGTAAACCTTAGATCTCTCTTCAAAAGTGGATATTCTCACTTATTGTACATTCCTTTGCTAGATGTCATCTCCTTGGATTTTCATCTTCTTGGTAATAATTTTGCCTTTAGGAATCACCCATAAGCCTCCATGAATGACCTTGAAAAACTAGGCTTGTGGGAGCCTCTATTAGAAAAGAAAGCAAATCCTAAAATCTAGAGAGAGGAATATATATATATATATATATATATATATATATATATATATTTCTTTTTCTTTCTTCAAAAAGTCTCTCCTAAAATATACATGAACCCATATATATATAGGCAACATAAAAATCAGAAAAGGAAGCCATAAATCATTCTCCATCTCTAATTCACATATCTCAAATCTAATAGGATTCTAATATCAAGTTGGGCTATGAGTGAGAATCCTGTTGGACTTATTATTTTCTTGGTTACAATGAATTAATAATTGGCCCAGTCCATAAACCTAATTAAATTAATTCATTAATTAATTTCTACTCCACTAAAAGAAATTAATTGAATTCCAATTAAATAATAAATAACATCTAAGTCAATGTTGCACTTTGACCCCTCTATGCATAATTAATTATCGGATAAATAAAGCCATCAATCCGACTACTTAATTAATATATTTATTTTGGTACCTTTAATTATTTCTGACTCGATCAGAGTAAAACATTTGTTTGACAAAAATAGTAATTTAAATAAATAAATATATAGTAAATCATTTTGTCTAAGCCTTCGAATTTACTTTGTGATCAACCATAATCAATACAAAATAAATACAAGTAGTAATGATGCAAATATTAAAAATATAACCCTCTAACTATTAATTACATAATTACCCAAAGTGCCGGTCTAAGGATTCCGAAGATTCCGCCGAACAAATCAAAGTAATTACTAATTAATAAAAGAGTCTATATTTCTCTCATGCTTAAGAGTCAAATACCATGACAGTGATAGGGAGCAATTCCATACGACAGCTCTCGCAATATATCTCAACCTAACGCGGATCCAGTTCAAGTTTTAATTAATTATGAGTCCATTCATAATTACCGATTATGAACAATTTATGATTACTATTTAGGGATAATTTCACTTACCTCCCCTCAGATTAGGCCTAATTACAGGCAGTACCCCTAACGTTTCAAATATTACACCGACCTCCCTCCAGGTTAGCTCAGTCATAACAGTCTGCCCCTCCCGTTAGTAGTCAACGCCATCTTTTGATGATGTCAGCCTCTTCTTAATGTGAAATACCACATTTGTCCTTAAAAAGGTTGCAAAGACATTTACACCCTCACTTTTGATTTAAAATTCTTTAATGCCCTCAATATAAAGATAAAAAGACCTACTATGTCTATATATATATATATATATAGACATACTATATCATCTCCTCTCTCCTCCGTATGAGTCTCT